AGATGTTCTGACTTGCTCAAGGTCAAAACACGAGTCAAGGGCAGAGTCAGAAACTGAACCCAGGAGTCCTGGTTTCCATCTCCTGCTCTAGCCATTAGGTTGCATGTAAGAAAGATGTGCGCGTGTTGGAAATAATTTAAAATAAAATAATCGCAAACCATTTCACTTTTGAAATAGATGGTTTCTCCCCACAGTAGAAAATTGACTCCAGGATTGGTCAAAAAGGCCATAAGTTAAGTGATTTTCATTGTGTCTTTGAAGCTCCTGCTCAGTAGCAAAGCACATTTCAAACAGTTGATGAGATCACAAACCATCTGGTGTTGCTCTCAAAACTGAAGAACTACTCTTAAAAAAAACAAGAAACAAAAAAGCAACCCTCCCCCCCTCCAAAAAAAAACCCCAACAACCCTACACTCCATAGGCATCTGGAGCTGCATTAAATTTACAATTCAGTGTTAATTTAACCGGTTTGTTTTTCTATTTTTTTAAACAGGTGTGATATAAATGAAATGAACTTTTCCTTTCTTTTTTTTTAAGTCTCTCATAGCAGAACAGTATAGCTAAGACTTATACCATTCCTATAAATAAGCTGGAGCCGACGCTCTGGATCCCAGCACCCTTAAGCTTTGGTTGTGATCCAATTAAAGCCCAAACTCTGTGGTTCACATTCGTCTCTAATCATAACCATTACCTTGAGACTCTTCCAAGTTATGAGTAACCCAGCCTCTTGGGCTTGAAGAATTAAGTAAAACATATCATACAGTGCAACTTCAATCTACATCATGCATGTTATGTGTGAACAGCAAAGCTTGAGTGTGCTTCATGCTTTTTAATGCACCCAAAATTCATAAGACGACTCTTCGGGTGGAACCAACTCAATTTCAAGTGATGAAACCAGGTCAAATCATAACCACGTCAGTGTAGGGTAGGGGACTGTTTGTGTTGTGTTTTTACAGTGTTTAGTAAAATGGGTCTCCAATCCCTGTGTGGGGGGCCAGTAGGTGCTACCACAATAGAAGTAAATAAATAAAGTCTCCATCCAGCAAATATTCATGCACGGTGTATTACATGAGTGACACCGCTGAAGTCAATCTACTTATGTGAGTAAAGTTAAGCACCTGTGTAAGTTTTCACAGGACTAGCGCTTTAATAATCCTCAACAGCTCTACTAAGAATTTATTAAGGAAACCCACTGAAATTCTTCAGATCTGGTCCACAAATAAAACCTAATGAATTAAATCAGGAAAAAACAATCAAATAGCCCTGTGTTTCCTATTTTTGCCTAGAAGTCAGACTCTGCTTTACACAGTTATGATGGGCTCGCATTTCTAGGATTGACAGCTGTCTCTTCTAACCTCTTAAAAAAAACCTGTCACATTCATTACCTTTGTTGATGTAAAGCTTACCGAGTGGAATTAAAAGTGTTCGGAGTGAGAGAGCACAACCAATATTTTGGGATGACTCACATGTTTAAACTTTTGACACCACGTGGGCGTGCCGGCAGCGTCTGTCTGACGCCAAGGCAGATAAAACAGGTGTTTGCACAAATTAAAATGAGAAAAGAACTAGGTGGAGCTAGAAGATGAGAATTCCCATCCAAATGCTCTTTGCACCCTACCCACTGCACTGCTCTTAAGAAAATCATTGCCCATATTCATTTTCTATCTTTACCTAACCGAAATCTGCATGGAACTTATTCACAATGGGACTGGGCTATTTACAAAATTTCCCTTGTCCTTCAACTCACCTAAATTTCAGGCTCTGTTACAAATTGGGAACTAAGCCCTAGCTCACCTGAAAGCTCGTGAACCTAGATACACTGTTCTGAGCAAACCTGGACTAAGATCCTGCTCTCACTGAAATAAACAAGATTTTGCCATTGCAGTAGGAGCAGCTTTATTATTTTGGATCAGAGTCAGGCTAGCATCATGATTTTGACAGAGAAGTAGAGAAACCTAGGGGCAGTGACTGAGTCTCTTGATGAGGTTTTGGGTTTGACCCTCAAGGTCGAAGTGAAACTCCGAGGATATAAACCCATGTGGGCTAGAGACCAGAGGGAGTTTAAATAAGCTCTGTGGAACAAAACCAGAGAATTTCATTTGGCTCCAATTTTCAGGCTTGGCGTGCAGGAAGGTAGAAAACCCAGAAGGAGAAAGAGTTTATCCCAGCTCATTTTCTTCTCCAATAAGCTGCTGATTTTGGTACAAAGTTCAAAGCAATGGAGAGGCATGTGTGAGAGGCATGCCAAGCGGATGGGCTCAAGGCATTCCATTGGTAACCTCGTGAATGACTAAGGCTGATTTCAGCCTCCTTGTTCCATGTTCAACTGGAAATTGAAATTCTTTCAGGCTCCGTAACATCACCACCTTGGGATCGGAGTCAAGAGAGTCAAACTGGGAGTAAGACTGATGGCTAAAGATTGATCTCAGCTAGAAAATTTGGCTCCAGATCCAAACTCTTCCACAGTTTAGGGCATGGTCCGAACCCAGGGGTTCGGTTTCACCTACTGTAGAGACGGGGCCCGGGGTAAAAAATGGAAACTAGATTTAAACTAGATCTAAAGTTCAGGTATTCTTATATCCAGAGTTTGGCTCTGGGGCAGCCTCTAACCAATACTATTATTTATTTATTTATTTATTTATTATTGCAGTAGTGTCTAGCAGCCCCAGTCACTGACCAGGACCATCCCATTGTTCTAAGCACTGTAGAAACACAGAACAAAAAGACAGTCCCTAGCAGTTTCATTTCACTACATTCCAAAATCATTCTCTCTTGATCAGTCTCCGAACTTGCTGGCTCCCATTTACGAGTCATAAGATGATTTTTCTTCCTGTTTCAGATTTTTTCTCAAATCTTGGCAGGCAACATCTGGGATCAAAATAACAATCTATGCTCCTTTGCTGATGGGAGTGGCTATTAAAAAGTCAAGGTTTATTCGCTGACAGTTAACAGAGTGTTGTATCCAAGATATCATCAGCATTCCCTAAACTTAGACTAGGAGATAACTATGGAGTATCTGAACCCCTTGAATGGTAAATAGAATTGGTCTAGTTACTATTTATAAATAACTATTTTTCCCCACTAAAAATTCAACAAAAATGAACAGGATTTTTTGTTTTGGTCTTGACATTTTTCTCTGACATTTTTGAGCTTTGCAAATTGGAAACTTTTGTTGTGTTTGTTTTCAGCAATCAGAATGTTCAGTTTTCAGTGGAAATCTGACCATTTTTGACAGCGATCCTTTTTGGGAACATTTCTATTTTGTCAAACAAAGCCATTTTCTGTCCAAAAAACCATTTTGATGAAAAATTTTCGACCAGCCCTAGCAATAACTTTCAGTGCAAGAAGAGTCTTTAATGATGATGGCCATTGTATACAGAAATATTTAGTGCTCATGTGGCTCTCCTTTTGGGCACCTAACTAGCAGTTCCCATTCTTTTTTCAACCTGCCCCTTCATCTTGAAACACCGAGTGTCCAGTCCTACAGCCCTTACTCACACAAGTAGTCCCCCCACAACATCAGTAGAATTATTCATGTGAGTAAGAACTGCAGGATAGAACCCAGTAACCAATCCTTACAATGTATCTTGTAAGTAGGCATGTTTAATTTATATTTTATAGATGGGGAAACTGAGGCACCGATCCATTATTGGGACCTGGCTGAGGCCACACAGCAAATCAAATACGGAGCTAGGAGTCTAACACATGAGTGCAGGTCTTGCAGTCCCATCTTTATTCTTCCAGACATTGTGGCCTTTCCCAACTAGACCATGCTGTCTCTGCAGTAGAGCAGCTTGGCTGAGAATTTTGTTGCTGATACATGAGAGAGTAGAATCCTGCTCATTCTCCCCTAGCTGTATTGGCTTTCTATGCATTTCTCTTATGTCCATCACTGCAATATCTAGATACCAAAGTTAATAAACTAGGCCTCACAAAACTCCCATGAAATATGATCCTCATTTTACAAATTGGGGAAATTGAGGCACAGAGCGGTGGCGTGATTTGCTCAAAGGGCTTCACAGGAAGTCTGTGGCAGAGTAGAAATTATCCCCAGATAACAGGTGGAAAATCTGAGGCACAGAGATGTGGAATGACTTGCTCAGAGTCGCACAGAGTCTCAGTGGCAGAGTCAGAGACAGAACCTAGATCTCCTGACTTGTAATTCAGTAACCTAGACACTAGACCACATTGTCTCTCTGTACATGGTCCTTTACTAAGGTGACCTCTAGAATGTCACTTTTCTAACCACAGAGAGTGCTCTGCAGTGCTTCCAGGCAGCATTAGAAACGGTTATAATTTGTGCGAGGGATGAATTACAGGTGCGATATTTATTTATTAAATCTAGTTGCTTAAAAGATTAGGGGTGAGAGAGGAGAGACTGTATCTGCCTTTCTCCTCACCACTGTTTGCAACCTGACACACTTCACCTCCCTCTGTGTTTTTATTAGCTGGTATTCTCAATACATCAGCGACAGCTATGATGAAACCAGTGGCAGATTTCTCTGCAAAGCAGCTGGGCCATTGTCCCATGGGTCTTGTTGCTTTGCTGTGCGAGATCTTAAAGTGACCACGACTATTTTGGCTGCTGTTTTTAAAGAGGCTGAAAGGGAGGGTATGCACGAGTTAAAATGCAGGGGAGAGTGGGGAATAGAAGGGAGGGATGCTTGTGTACCATGTACAGAGCGACTTTGAAAAATTCTGAGGCATCTAAGTATCACAAACATGATCCCTGCTGTGGGTGTGAGTGCTTTGCCTGAGGGTGTCAAATCAAATATCCACTACTGGTTGGTACAGTACATTGCCCCCCCTTGGGGATTCGGAGGGGGTGGGGGGTTGAAGAAAAAAAGGTTTAAATGCAGCAAATGAAGAAAATCTTTAACAATATCTGAAGCGGTTTATCATTTACTGTCACCTTGTTTATTATGAACAATATAGGTGAAAAAAAAGGAAAAGAAAGGAAAGCAGACAACTTACTTAATGTCAAGTCTCCTAACACTTACCTGGAAACGTCTCATGTCTCTGGGGTTCCCTGCTGTTTTCAAACAATTCTGATTGCACTTGAGGAAAAATTTCAAGAAGAATCTGCAAAGAGAAAGGACTGGGTCACTTCTATTAAGAAGAAACTAACATCTAGTATTATTTACCTGCTTTGCATTGATGCAAGAGTGCATCATAGCGATGTACGTGAGGGTATATAAACAGACTGTCTGAAAAACTTAAAAATAAATCAGATTTCTCTCTGAAATTTGTCACTTATAAGTACCATCTAATATGATTATAAATGAAATAGGAAATTAAATATCCTCTTTGGGCAAGGTCCTTAGTTGATGTAAGTCAGCCTAGCTCCATATAGCTACACCGGTTCATACCCGCTAAGAATCTGGCATTCTATTTTTTGCAGTGTCCTTACTTTGTGTTTAGCCAGTTTCTCTTATTTCTTCTGTTGTCTGTGCAGGTCTTTTGTGCAACAACATCAGAGGATAATACTATTGTAAAAACCAGAAAAATTGGCAGGGTAACTCTGGGGCAGGTGAAAAACCTGAAACTACTTTAAGCTCATTAAAAAAAAGCTGACCAGATTTCATGTTGACAGTTAGTTACTAAGTTTTATTAAAGATAAACAGAACTGTTGACAGTCCAAATTACAATCTTACATAATCGTAAGAGAGAGGGTGACAAAAACAGAAGTTAAGGGAATATAGCAGACCCAATGCAGAATATAGGCAATGATTTAGAGTAGGTAAACATACTGGTGTTGTTAAAGTTATCAATGATTTTTTTTTCTATCAAATACACCGATCCTTCATGCTTTACAATTCCGCATGGTCGTAGTTTGTCATTTATGTAAGTTCCATCTCCAGCACTCTAGGCAGAAACTGCCAAACGTTATGAACCACAGGGCTTGGATATTGCACAGCTTTGACATGCTATCACTAGAGAGCCCGTTCTCAACAGGCCCTTGAGTACAAAAGTCTTCCATGTGAATAAGCAAATCCATCTTTCTAATGATGGTTGCACTGATAAGACTCATGAATTTCAGGAGTGTAAGGGGTTAACAGAATATTTGCAAACATTTGCACTTTTTGGATACAAAATACCCCCCAACCATGCTATCATGATCCCAGTGTGACGGACGAGAAATATTTAAAGTGTCCTCCATCGTGAACATGAACAACTTCCGTGATTCTGTTCTAGTAGCACATTTACATTTGGAGAACAAAACAGGTTTAACTGGGACAAGCAAATTTGTGTAGGCTCTGAGAGGGAGGGAGGAAGCATTAGTATAAGAGAGATTTTAAATAGTTGAAGAATTGGCGTGGAATACAGTGAACAATTTATTTATTTATTTCACTTGCTGAGTGCTTTTCTTACAAAAAAAAAATTCAGCTTTTGCAGTAAGTTAAAGTCCCAGGTGAGCTAGGCCTATTTCCCTTTCTGTTACTATGACAACGATTTTTTACCGCAGTCCCAAAGTCCCTTCAGAACTCACACATTCATGCCTTGAATTAGAACTTTAAAGGAGAAAGATGTATATTTTCCAGGGTTTACCAACAACAAAATAATAATAATAAACCAGAAATCAACTTTGCTTCCTCACCTCACTTTTTATTTACACCTCTCAATCATCCACTCCCCCCAGCACACAAAATAAATACTTAGGAATCTGATTCCTTTCTGTGTCTCTCAATAAACAACTGCAATCCTCCCTACAAGCCCCCCCGAAGAGATTAGAAACATGGGCCCACAACAAAAATACCCTCCTATGGGGTTCTGCTGCACTAAAGGGTTCCATTATTTTTAAACCAATCTGAACCTTTCTGACCCATTTTCTTACAAGTTTTCCTTTGTGAAACAATCATTTTATCCCCATCATTTGCTGCTAGCTTTCCCCTTGCTCACAATTATAGAACCTTCTTGGTTCTTTGTGTGATGCAGATAAAGGTAAAAGCACAGTGTCCATACTGCAGTCTCTTTTCACTTTGGTATTCAAGTTCAGCAGTGAAAGATGGATCAATGCTCCGTTGTCAGAGGGCAACTTCTATGAACAGAGCCCTAGTCATTTGGTTGTACATAGAACCAAAAATCATACATGTTTTACGAGCAGAGCTAAGTGAATGCAGCAAAAACATATTCATTAATATTCTTGCAAATAAGTCCTGTTGATTCCATTTGGTGTGGAATTCGTGGCCCCTTTTATCTGAATTTTTTGGTGAGAAAAATTTTATTTGCAAATATGTTTCCAGAAAGAAAAAACATTGTGCATACTAGCACATGTGAATATTTGCAAGTTCAAGCCAGAAACGCTCTCACTTGCAAACCCTCTTTTTGCTGCATTCCAACAATTACAAATGCTCGCAGATAATCTGCAAAAAAACAACGGGACCTCTCCTGTTTAGGAAGCTTAGGTCATCCAAGCAGGGAAAACAAATAATGCCATGTGACCGAAGCAAGCAACTACCCCGAACAAATATTGGAGACCATTTGCCAAGAAATCATGAGCTAACTATTCATAGAGTAATTGCAAACAAAGTCTTAAGAATCATGACCTGTTTGGGGGTAACACACAAACAGAAATAAGTGCTAAATTAATCAGAAAAATTATTTCCAACTTCATTTTTTTCCCCTCTCTCCCCACCTAGGTCCAAATAGACAGAAATTCAACCCAAGTAGAGCCTCCTATAACCCAGGAAGGGAACCAAACCCAAAATATTTGGAGCCAGATCCTCTATGGTGTAAATCAGCAAAACTCCATTGAAGTCTGAGCGACCAACCGAAGATCTAGGCCATAACTTTCTTTTTTTAATTAAAGAAAACCATTCATTGCTCCTTATAGGCCTGATCACCCCCTAGGCAATGCCAAGAGCCCTCATCTCTCATTGACCTCTTTGTAATGGAGACCGTTCAGCACACTGAGGCTTTGGGGATCTGCCCCAAGATACTCAACAACAACTAGTGGTTTGCAGTGCTCCACCCAAGACATTTTAAGGGGCCTGACTTTCAGGAAGTGCTGAGCCCCCGCCCTGAAAATCAGACTTTAAAGTGTCTTAAGCTGAGCCCCCCAAATCATTAGAGTCACTGTTGAAAATCTTGGCCTGGGTATTTAATATTTTAGTATTCTAGTATCATTCTGCCATTGCCTGCATTGTGGCTTATGGCATTTATATTTTCTTTAGAGCCCAGTGGATATCCTAATGTGCTTAATGTTTTCCCCCTGGTTTTAGACTTAAACACATGCACAGAGGAATTTTCATCTTTCCTCCAGTTAAATCAGGTGGCTCACTCTCTCCTTTCAGATATTTTCCAGTCAATTTTAACTGCAACTGGGCACCCGTATAAAGTATTCGGCCTGTCATTATATATATCCATATATATTTTAAATGGTTGCATCTGGGAAAGGCATTAATATTTATTGAGGCATTACAATAAAAATGAAAATTTTTGGTGGGGGAAAACAAAGAGGAGGCAAGGCTTAACATTGAATGAAGTTGATTTAGGGGTGACCGGAGAATTACAGCGGGGCTTTATTAATTTTTTTAAATTAGAACCTTTAGCAACTTTTTGGACTTAACCCACACATGCATCAAGAAAAGAAAAAATTGACCCTGTTTCTTAGCTGGCCTTTGTTCCTCCATAAGGACCAGGCTCGCTATGGGTTTAGCAGACTGCTGAGTTTCCAGCCAAGAAGTGAGAAATATGGCTCATTCATACTGTATATCAGCGTTCGAGGCACTGAGGAACAAGCAAGCTAACTTTGAATGACTACCACTAAATATCTGGCAGGGCTATAGAAGACTTGGGTATTTTAATGCATATACATCAAAAATAATTAAGAGATGTTTTGGGTCACCATTTTTAAAAAAAATTCTTTTTTCTTCCTACTCATATTCGGTTCCTCTGTCCACAAACAGGGAGGGATTTGGAGGTGTCATGTTGGAAGACCCTGCACATACTACCAAAAATCTGTTTTAGGATCCTGCTGTCACCAATGATTGGTAAGTATTGTACCTCTACGAGGCTCCGTATGCGGAAACAGAGAATGGTCTAGTGGATAGGGCACTGGACTAGCACTCAGGAGACCTGGATTCGGTTCTCAACCTGGCCACAAACTTCTTGTGGGACTTTGGGCAAGTCACTTAATGGCCCGTGCTGTATAGGAGAAAGTCAGACTAGGTGATCACAGTGGTCGCTTCTGGCTTTAGAATCTATTAATCTACCCAGACCTCCATTTCCTAGCTGTAAACTGGGGGCAGAGACTGCCTATTAGAGGGTATACGTAGAGCTAAGCACAAATCTCAGCTGGCATATCTAAGCACTAATAAAATACTAACAATATAACTATTTTAAAAAACCCAATGAAATCAGCTCCCCTCTACAAAATGCTCATATTCTAAAGGCCTGATCCTCTGAGGTGTTGATATACCTCAGCTATCATTAATCTTAGAGCTGAGGACAGTCAGCACCTCACAGCACTACGGTTTGATGACACAAGTACATACAGCAGCGGAAATAATGAAGTGCAACGTATGGACGTTACAGTTTGTGGCACTGAAGACCAGGCAGGATTTTAGCAGCCAGTAGAAGCAGAGGGAGGGCACTTAGCAATGATTAATTGGGAGGTCATTCTGACCCGTAAGGAAAGGCATGGAGGAAAGGATGCCGTTGGGAGAGGGAGAAAGAGATGAAGGGCCAGAAGACAGAGCAAGAAGCCGGGGGCAGAGAAATGAGCTCAGAGAAGGAGGTTGGGCAGAATTGTGGAGAGATCTGGAGGTGACCAGAAACCGGAGCTGAATGCAGACGGAAGTGCAGAGGGTAATGCTGGTGTCAGGACCTGATCCCAAGCTCATTGCCAAAGACTCACAATGACGTCAACAGGATTCTGATCAGGCTGAGAGAGGCCACTTTCTTGGTTTCCCTGGCATTTAAAAAGACTATCCCTGCCCCACTCCCTTTTAAGTTTCAGGGCCCAAATGTCCTGCAATTACCTTTTATCTGGGACCCTGTCCAGCAGACACAGCGTCATGCAAGGAGAGTTTTGCCTCTGCCACTCCCTGCAAACCGAATGGCTACAGACAGGGCCTCCT